GCATATGTATGCAGGTGAACCGATATCAGGGAGGCAAGAAGGTGTAGCGTTTCAATGCCATGTCCTCGCAGTAGTGAACGGAAACACCAGAAACATCCAATTGCTCGTACAGTATGTAGATGATTCAGAGTCTCTTATCTCTGACACATGACACCAGGACGACAAACAAACGGGTGAAGGAAGATCAGGCAAACTTTGTCTCACTCTGGCCGCGCCCGGCGTTATTCTACCGTCCAGTTTTTCTTCTCTGGGCCTTGTCGTATGCAACTGTTGGTTCAAATTTCCTGATGGTGTATGCAACTCCCAGCAACAAGGACAAGCTTAGCGGCCGCCCCACATGCTGCAAACGAAGCTTCGACTGTTCCACTGCAAGCAAAAGCCAGGTTCTTTTTTTTCTCCGCCGAGTAAGTTGACGGGACCTTATCGGCCAGGGAGAGCGAGCGACCAAGCGAAGCGTCTGGGCTTGTTCCAAGGTTGGAGTTGAGTTGGCCCTTGTTAATTGCGGTTTCGGTCCCCACCAAAAGGTGTCGCCGCACTTACACGGGCATACATGTTCTTCTCCTCCTTCTCCTCCAACTTGCACTTGCACCTTGCTTGACTGACTTTTGGTAGAAATATCCCATCTCCCACCTCTTTCCTTTCCTTCGTGACTGAACTTTTCTTCTTGTCTAACTACTAAACTTTTTATATCCAAGTTTGAATCACTTTCCATCTCCAGTCTGGGGTCTTGTTTTTCCATCCATCTTAACTGTTGTGATTCTGCTATTGCTGATTTCCTTGTGAAATCCCGTACTAACTAACTGGCTCTCCAAACTCTCCACCAAGACAGCCACTTCCATCCCAAAGGGCTACGATAACCACCATTTTTCTGCCTTTTCCAAATATCACTTCCGTGGAATCGTCGCTTTGCTTATTTTCCCACCCAATTTGGGATCAAGGCGGCGATTGATTCTTTTTGACAAGCTCAACAACTTGCCTTTCTTTCCATCCAGGCTGTGATCCATCACATCTATCCAACATGGGTATGCTTCGCGCTGGTCCTCGTGACCCAGATGCATTCCCGGCCATGCAGCTCTTCCTCCTGGGTAAGATCAGAAATTGCACTTCAACAATATGTGCTAACTTCAAATAAGCCATTGTCCGACTCGCTGAGCCTATCGCGTTAACGTCCATCTTCCCATACGCCTGGGCCCTTGTCAAACGCTTCGAAATAGGCCGCGAGGAAGATGCTTCGTTCTACTCTGGCATCCTTATATCCGCATTTTCGCTTGCTGAAGCTGTTATGGGAACGTATTGGGGCGCCCTGTCCGATCGTATCGGCCGCAAACCTGTTTTGATTATTGGATCTTTAGGTACAATGATCAGCATGCTGATAGTAGGAGTGGCTCCAAGCTTCGGTATTGCCTTGTTTGGTCGTCTCCTTGGTGGTCTGCTTAATGGCAATATTGGCGTAATCCAAACCATGGTTGGCGAGCTGGTCACCAAACCTGAGCATGAGCGTAAGTCTGCAAATCATTGCTCGAATTTCCACGGCTGATCGATATTTTAGCACGTGCATACTCTATTATGCCTTTTGTCTGGAGCATTGGAACCATTGTTGGACCCTCTATCGGTGGGATGTTTGCCAACCCTCATGACTCTTGGCCCGAATCTTTCCCAGTCGGCAGCCTCTTCCAGCGCCAACCTTACTTGCTGCCCAACGTTATCTGCGCAGGATTGCTGCTTGTGAGCATTGTGCTCGGTTTCCTCCTCCTCGAAGAAACCCATCCCGACATGGTCCAGCACGTTCCTACCAGCGAATACCACGTCAGCGAGGAGACCCCCCTTATGATGAACAACCGAATGGCCACCGAGATTGAGCCACAGGCGTATGGTGCGATAGAGACAGTCGAGGATTCAACCGATGGCTCAATCGGGGACTGGGATACTCTCTGTATCGAAAACGAAAAGACAGCTGCAGCTCCCATCAAGATCTGGAATTGCCGTGTTGTTGGCTTCATTGTCGCCTTGTCAATCTTCACTTACCATGCCATGACGTTCGACCACTTGCTGCCCATATTCTTCGAAGACAGCCGTGTTGATGCTGTGGAGATGTTCAAACAGGGGTCTATCTTTCCTTTCTACTCGCCTGGTGGCCTGGGCATGACTCCACGCGATGTTGGTGTGATCTTGGCAATCGACGGCGGTATCGCTCTGTTTATCCAGGTCTTTGTCTTCCCCTGGACTGTCAAGATGCTTGGAACCTATCGCCTTTTCCTGCTCGTCACTGTCCTCCACCCTATTATCTACGTGCTGATGCCCATGCTCCTCCTTGTTCCTGAGAGCCTTTTATACCCCGCTATCTACGGCTGTCTCATCATCCGCAACATTCTCTCCATTATACTATATCCACTTCTTATGATCCTCATCAAGGAGGCTACACCAGCCCCAAGCGCTCTTGGAAAAGTGAACGGCTTGGCAGCAAGTGCTGGTGCTGCTTGCCGAATGATTGCTTCACCCGTCGCTGGATTCTTGTGGACGGTCGGTACCAAATCAGATTGCTCTGCCTTAGCCTGGTACGGTAGCGCTATTGTCGCTATTTTGGGAGCCGTTCAGTGCTTCTCTGTTCCTCGCCGGCGCAATGAGGAGCCTTATGGGGAAATCTCCAAAATACCTAACAAACAGGCTGTCACAGTGACTGAGACTGAGTTTTATGACTCCCCATGAGGAGCACGCAGCGCAGTTGGAAATCCGATCAGGTCGAACATGCCGAAGCGACTTCGCGGGTTTTGCAGCCCTTTTTAGACTTGATTGCCTGCAGCAAGTCATACTGTTTTATCATGCCCTCATGAGTTTGGAGTTCAAGCATGTTTTGATGATTTGCGTATAAAAACGACTGGTAGATAGGATGGTGTTTATCACGGCCGCTTTTACGAAGTTATGTATACCCCAGGTATAATGATTGATTTGGTTTGTGATGACTTTTTGCTTTTTGGAGTTTGGCTTGATTATTGAAGAAAAAAACTTTTGGAGTTTATTTGTTTTTGAATTGGGTTTACGGTTGAATATGGGGTTTAGTATATAAGTTAGATAAAAGCAAGGTAAATAGGAATAGAAGTAATTACAAACATGACCACTCCCATCTTAGTAGGTTCCCTGTCCTCTACGAGCAAGAAAACATCAGACCTTGATATAAGGTATAAAAACAAAAGTAGAAATAGATATCCTAAAATTAATTATAAACTGATGCTAAGTTACCTAAGTCTTTTATCACTTAGGATCAAGGTCCTAGTTTTCTTTCCTCCCCTAGCCTGTATAATGTTCTTGAGTCGTTATAGTTAAGGTAGCTGATGCCCAATAGAATTTTCGCCACCCACCCTAAAGTTGGAGAAGCTCAAATTTTAGCAATCGAGTCACTCCGAATCCACCCACCAATGACATCTGAAGTATAAGACTCACCACAATATTCCTGATTTGAAGACAGCAGCAGCAGGTTCTTCTGCTCTAAAAGTAAAAAATATGGAAATCGAGGAAATCACCAACAAGATGGATGAGGCCATGAAGCTGGAGCAGGCCTCACCACAGCCAAATGCCGGTGCCACAGAGGCCACCAAACCTCAGCTGCCCCCAGCTCATGCCATCGCTAGCGGAAAGACTGTTGACGAAGTATGGGAAGATCTAAACAAGTCGCCCCTTTTCATGACAGACCTTGATGCTAGTGAGGAGAATGAAGACATTGCAGCACTGCAGGCTCTCGCGTATGAAGGTACACCTCTCGAAAACGGCCAGGAGTTCAAGGAGCGTGGAAATGAGTACTTCAAACTTAAGAGCTACGCCGACGCAAAGGAGTTTTACGGAAAGGGTATTGCTATTCTCGCAGGCGAAGAGCGCAAGCGCGCCAGGGGCGAGCAGACGAAAAACCAGGAGGGCGTAATCGACACTGAGCAGGAGATTCAGAAGCAGCGCGAGACTCTCGAAGCGCTCTACGTCAACCGGGCAGCATGCCACCTTGCTGTTAAGAACTACCGCAGCTGCTGGCTTGATTGCGCGGCGGCATTGCGCCTCAACCCGCGAAACATCAAGGCATACTTCCGCAGTGCACGAGCACTCATTGCAGTGGACCGTATCCAGGAGGCTGATGATGTTTGTGCGCGCGGTCTTTCATTAGACCAAAACAATGCTTCGTTACGTGCTGTAGCGGACGATATCATTAAGCGAGCTAAAGAGATCGACGCGCGACGAAAGAGGGACGCAGAGCGCGAAGCAAAGGAGAAGCGACGTGCACTTCTCATCAAGGCCGCACTGCGAGCGAGGAATATACCCACACGCACAACCTCTCAGCCACCAGAGATGGAAGACGCGGGCATTGCGCTTCTCCCAGATCCTGATGATCCCCGCAGCACGCTTGCGTTCCCAACAGTGCTGCTGTACCCTCTACACCTGGAATCTGATTTCATCAAGGCGTTTGAGGAAACACATTCGCTCGAGGATCATCTGAGCTATATCTTCCCTCTGCCGTGGGACAAGGAGGGTTTGTACACGACAGCAGGCGTAGAGGCGTTTGTGGAAACCACACAGGGTGGCCTCCTAAAGATGGGCAAGCGAGTGCCGCTGCTGAAGGTTTTGGGAACGGGTAAGGTTGAGGTAGTGGATGAGGTGGTGAGGATCTTTGTCGTTCCTAAGTATAAGGCAGAGGCATGGACAAAGGAGCACAAGGCAAAGAGAGCGGCTGAAAAGGGAGAGACAAGCTGATGGATGTAGGAAAGAATAATAAAAAAGTTACTTTGTTTTACAATGATGTTCGTGTACTAACTAATACTTGCGATTGCTGTTTCCTAGGCCCTAAATGATGTGCTATATGCCGTTATGAGATGATCGAGATGCCACCAGATACTGGTGATTGAGTAATTGAGTGAACCCAAGTGTCCGAAATTTTCCATTCTATTCGCTGTGAAATACTATAACCCCAAAGACTCCTTTGTCGATAGAAACCCATTGCGCCTTTCCCCTTTCTGTCACAGTTACTTGGACAATGAAGTGGCTCGCAGTCTCTTATTACGACGTCCTTCCCCGAAATCAGGCTCCAATTGGATAGGAGGCGGCGACTCGACGGCGTTGGGAACAGAGGGCCCCTGGTCCTGCATCCTCAGGTTTAAGAGAAGCATGGCTGCGTCCTTCTGGGCGGCATCAGGTACGCTGTGTCGCGTCTTGATCACTCGTTGCCTCATAGGACTGGCCTCAGGGGTCGAAACCATGAGAACAGATCTCGGGCTCATGGCGGGGCTGGCACTCTCTCTGTAGAATCTATCCCAGTCTTCGTATTCCAGTCGTCTCTTAGGTCCCCAAGGCGCAGACGAGAGAGCTCCTTCATTCTGCAAAGGTGGGATGCGAGGGACCGCACTGAGCAAGGGATTAGGCTCAGGGCTAGACTGGTTTGCAACGGTCCAGCTAGATCCCGGACGAGAAGTCACCATATAGCCAGGTAGTCCTGAGCCGCTACTCGAGGCTGAGTTGGGAGCTGACATGTAATGGCATTCGACGTCGCTGTCCATGGCCCATGACGGATCACAGACCAGACGGGGTCGGAATCGATGGCGGCGCTCGTCTTGAGCATAAATGCCCGGGGGAATACTGCAGTCGTCTCTCGGATAGCTCGTAGCGCCGTGGAAGCTAGGTGGGATCGTGCTCATATGCATACGCCGAGTCATCTCGGCTTCATGGGTAGCTTCGATGATTATTTGCTGGCTGATGACCATGCGGCCGAAGTCAGGCGCGCTGGGATGAATACAAAGAGACGGAAAGTCTGGGCCAAAGATTGGGATCAAGGCCCCCGCGATAGAGTAACAGAAGGTAGCGCAGACAGCTCTGGCACATGTGTATGGCATCCAATAACCTGCGTAGACTGATGAGCAAACGACCAGAAGGCGCTGATGAATGGAACAAACCTTGAGCAGCTATAGAGCCTCCAGTAATGCTATGTGTGATTTCTTTGAGCCCCGGGTTGAGGCCTAACATCTTTGCCGGAATTGTCTGTTCCATTGGCAGTTAGTATATGTATATCGAGGCTTGTTCTTTTACTTGCCTTTCCGTAGCCGCGACATTTGAAGAAAGGGGTCATGCGAACGAGCCCGACGTTATAGTCCCACATCACAGCGTATTCAGTATTCTGTTCAGCCAAGGTGAACTCGTATTTGAAAACTGTTAGGCTTGCGTCAATAACTGGTGGTCGACGTTAGACTTGGTTACTTACCCTCGAAGCTCTCTCGTCCTGTCTTTTCGTAAAAGTCCTTTTTGCCACTGTTGTATGGGATGTGAAGGCTTGAATCTTGGATATTTCCAAATGGCTTGACTCGGAATCGGCGTATCTCTTGCAAAGAAATCTCGTCGAGACGCTCGAAAGGGTGAAACTTGACTGGACCGCGCAGCTTCGACTTTGCCATATTGTTGGCGTCTTTCGGCCCAGATCTATCAGAAACCATCATAAAACGGTTCCCAGATTGATTTGATGCTTCTTCGAAGTTCGGGATTGGTGGAAACTCGAGCGCAAGACTTGGTCGAGGAAAAGGGGAATCATTATCTCCAGCTGGTGCTGGGTTCAGGAGACCTTTAAGGGACAACATGATGAAAACCAGTAAATTTTGCAAGAAATAGAAGTTTGAGAGGCGTAAAGATGTTCGATAGATGCAGGAGGCCAGATATTTGGCCGTAAAGAGATGGATTAACCAAGTGGTTTGGATAGTACAGCGGGCAGCGGCCGTGATATAACTACTTCTGGATTGCAGGGAAGGACAGACAGCCGCAACACTACAGCTGGGGGGAACTCTTCGCCTTTCAAGTCACTCCTCAGCTTGACAAACAAGCCGGGAAATGGCAAATATGCCTGCGTGTACCAAAATAGGCGGTGGTGAGGAACCCTAGCCTGAGCTGGCTCGGCCAGCAAAGTTGCTCGGGAACCTGCAACTCCAAAAAGTCGGTCACGCCTTGTCTAGGTCAGGCCGACACTCTTCGTTATGTTTTCTTTGTTCTTTCAGTTTCAATGCCGGCTTCCAAGGGGCTAGAGCTCCGTTGACGAGCTCCCACCGCCTGGTGCTAGCAGATACTAGGAACAGCCACCAAGTGATAGATGACGGAACGATGTCGGGGCAGGCTATTAATGATATAGTAAAAGAAATTGGGCTCAGTTTGAAGTCGAGGGAGAAATGCAAGGATGAGGTTTCCAGACACTTTGATGAATATGAACGTATTGTTGCGTTGTCCTACTGCTATGGTTTTGTTCATCCACCTAGGAGATATGTTTGAGTCCAGAGTCCCGCTTTATCAAACAGCTCCTCTATAGCCTCTAGAATTCCCCTCCGCATTAGGAGGACCATAAGGCAGAAAGAACTGCAACAGGGGTGCGTATTGGAGCTGTTGGGTGTGGATAGGTCAGCCTTCACTCCGTGCCGTCCGTTACACTTCCGGATACATCCTCTCTTTTGCTCTGAACTCCAAAGGCACCACACAGTCTTGGCTTCGTCTAATTAATATTGCAGTTCGTCTCTCATTGATTGAATGGCTGACTCCCTGGTACAGCCTGGAGGCTGGAGATCAGGACTGAACTGTGAGCCGCGAAGGAGAGCCAAGAATGACGAATTGGTTGCCTCGCCTTCAAAGGTAGCCCCACGGGCTCAGAGTCAGAATGAAGTACAGGCGGATGCTTGCATACCACATCGTCCAGGACCTTCTACCCCAGTCTGTTTCCTCATATTTGTACAACAGGAGACAACGGCCCTGCTGCCACTGAGGTTCTGTTGTTCATCTCAGCACTCCCTCAGAATTGCTCGAGTCGCCCCCACGTGTCAGTATGACAACTGACAGCTAGAAGGGGCACGCATCCTTACTGAGACGGCTTGCACATCAACATGGCCAACAGGCCTATCAGAGGTGTCTCCTGTTTCTGCGGTCAATAAATACATGAGGTGGCAATGGTTTGTCAGGGATACCTTTCATAGGTCCCTCTACTCTGACCAAAGACCTGTGCATAGCCGTTGCATACTACATCAGTGGTAAGTTTCTGATGAGAGTTCGATGGCGCTTCCAGAAGTCAGTCCGGTATATTTCCCCCTCATATGATCTATCGCGGTGAAGCCAGAAACAAACCTGTCATGTCTCTGACCTTTGTTACTCTCACGAGCTCTTAGGTGTACAGACACAAGAAAATTCCCCGAACGGGGACACAAGCCTATGCCAAATATGCTCGCCCCTCCTGCCCATGGAGTAGCCATCAATGCTTTGCCATTCATTTACCATTTGATTCAAGTTACGATCGCGCCAGTGTGAGAGAGCCTGAAGGACCTGTTGGGCGTTGTGCCCTCCATATCGTCAACTAGCGTAATATGACTGCACCCCAATCTCTGAAATACGATGTCAATGACCTAAGCCACCATAACGTTGTTGCATGATCGACTCTACTCTGTTGTCATGAGTAGGCATGAGGCTCCGGTCGAAGTCGATGACCTTTTGGCAATTATCGCTGTCTCGCGAATTCATGGCATCTGACGCGACCAGCCGACGGCTCGGACAGCGACGCTCTTCCGGGGTCGGGTCTTCTGTCCACTTAATCGAAATGGCCAGTGACGGTCCTGTCACGGAATAGGGAGTAACCAGTCAACCAGGAAGTGCAGAAAGGGTAGACACAGGGCCCAACAACGGGTTATGGCGTTTCTTGAGTGAACACCGTCTTAGCCTGCAGCATTTTGGGCATTTGAGGCACTGTCTGGGTATCTCGGTCTTCCTGATTCGGACAAAATGACATCCGAGCCTAATTCTGAAAGCTGAACAGCATATTTGGCACCTCACCAAGCTTATCGGACCGAGCTCTGACGAATTTGGAAACGACTGATTGTCCAAATCGGTATCAGAGTAGATGAATTCCTTCTTGGTTCTCAGAGCTCGGTTTCAGATGATTGTACGATTTCGGAGCGGTATGACAGCGGCAGTCCATGGCGAGTTAGCGTTTCTTTTTCACCAGGCGCAGCCAAGGACACAAAACGGCTCCCTGCATCGAATTTCGGGCGGTGTCACCGTTCTTCCTCCCCCGTTGGTGTGGCATGAGTCTCGTTGCCCGCGTAAAATCGCTGTGTTGTGAAGAGAGGCAGTGCTTTTGTGATTAGATTTGAGGAGCTGAGATGTTTGATCGAATCCAGCCTCACAAGGTACAAAGGAATGAAATACAGCACCGGCCATCCCACATGGGTAGAAGCCAGGATTCCGGCTTTGAGCCTGGTGTAAAGCCCATATCAGAATTTGGCGAGAATACCCTACTTTCATATTTTCATCGATGCTACAAGGTGATCAATAAAGGTGCCCATCGAATGCTTTATCAGGCGCAACAAGCTGCAGGCTGGTCTGGCGATGAGGCGACAGTCGATGCCTCGTTGAGTCCGCTGGTGGTGATACGGTCCGCCTCAGTCAAGTTATTCTCGAATATGGTGAAACCAGGAGAATAAACAAGTCTCGTAGGCTCATCCCATGGAGACACACAGGCATTTAGCAGACACTTGCCCTCATCCTAAGTCGCACACTTTGACTCGGCCCGCTTAGCCCAGGCTGAGACCGGTGCATGTCTGACTTCGAGCTTGACAGGCTCTTTTCGGAGAATAAGCGACCGCGATACTACTAGAAGAGGGCCGGCCTCGGATGCTCTTCAAGTTGCCGCAATTTCTATGAGGAAAGCTCCTGTTCTGGGAGATTTGTGGCACGTGTGGCACGAGCCGAAGCGTTAATCAAACGAGGTGAGTGATGGTTTGCTATCCTTTTATTTGCCCTGGAGATGTTTTCATTCCATATTAATCAAAATATGATCCTGTTTGGCCTGAAGAGGTCTTGAGCCGAAAGTAAGTTTGCGTAAGGGGAGGGAGCCTTGAGTTCATCCCGTCTTTGAGCGAACTGGTGAGGCGAGGAATATCGGGTTTGACAGAAACGAATTCATGTCTCCTCCTGAAACCCGAAGGACTATTCAGGCCGGCGTTCTTTGCAAGGAACTTCAGGGTCAAGAAATGTGTGAACAATCGGCTTTTCAAAGCCATTTCCTTTAGTACCTTGGTCTGCTCGACGTCTCTTCCACTCACACCAGCTTACAGCATCATGTGCCAAGTCACGGGGTCTGGCGTTTGGAAGATATGATCTGGCCTGAGGCATAAATGTGCGGCCCCACGACGGGCGGAAGTGGGTCACCAACGTCGCGTCCCTGTAAGATTTGTTTACAATAGGGACCCTTGATTGTCACAACAACATAATAAGGTAGGACTGGTTTAATCGTTGATGGGAAGTCTGGCACCTTTTGTTTCTTCATTTTTGTTATCGCGACTCTGTACGCGAGCATCACCACTCGCTCGACCTGGTCGTCCTTCATCCTTGACTCCATTGTCTTTGTTTTGTCCCTCATTGAGACCCCTGTATTCAACCTTATTGTCCTTAAATTCTGTCCTGGCGCCACAAGCCAGATTCTTTGCCCTCACTGCCAACAACAACAAGATGGACTCCGATGCGTCCATGTTCAGTCTTGGGGAGGAGTCAGATGGCTATGTCCCCGAAACCGTAAGTAATTCTTCTTTTACCCCTCTTTTGTTGGCACAATAAATCGGTTTGCGCATTGTGTCCCTATTTGTCTTCCTCTATTTGCATCGCATTCTTTGAATTCCTTCCTTCACACTTATTTACATCAAATACATTCCCCGCCGAGCACTTTCGTTTCCGCACTTTTTGCACAAATATAACCTGACCTTTCTTTAACAGAAGGCGAAACCCAAAGCTGCACCAAAGAAGGCTGCTGCGCGGCCGCCCGTCAAAAAGATGGTGCAAACAACCCTTAAAACGAAGAGCGCACCCAAAAAGCGCCCAACGCCGGAGAGCGACGACGATGATATAAGCGTTGCCTCAGGTTTCTCAAACACACCTCCCAAGGCCAAGAAGCAAAAGAAGGAACCTGCCGTCAGCAAGTCTTCTGGTGCACCATTGGAGGAGCTTGAGAATGATAGTATGGTGATTGACAGCCCCGCCAAACCTGGCAAGAAGAAAACGGCCACCGAAATGTACACGAAGCTGTCGCAACTAGAGCACATTCTCAAGCGACCTGATACATACATCGGCTCTGTTGAGAGGACGGAACAACAGATGTGGGTTCTGAGCAAAGAGACCCAGTTGATGGAGTACAAGAACGTCAGCTTTGTTCCTGGTCTCTACAAGATTTTTGATGAAATCTTGGTCAACGCTGCGGATAACAAGCAGCGCGATGGCTCCATGACTTACATGAAGATCAATATCGATCGTGAGAATGGCGTGATCAGCGTCGAAAATAACGGAAAGGGTATTCCTATTGTTATTCACGAAAAGGAGAAGATTTACATTCCTGAGCTTATCTTCGGACATCTGTTGGCGGGTTCCAACTTCGACGACGACGAGAAGAAGACCGTTGGTGGTCGCAACGGTTACGGTGCCAAGCTGTGTAACGTCTTCAGCACTGAATTCAACCTTGAATGCCAAGACAGTGAGCACGGCAAGAGGTACAAACAGACCTGGAGAAACAACATGCAGACGATGGAGAAAGCCAAAATCACCAGCAGCAAGACTTCAGACTTCA